CCACACACCTGCTCTTCAACCGAGCTTAGGAAGTCCAATGTTCTACTGACTGAGCTAAGGTGGCCCAACCCCTATTCAGGATAAATGTGCTGCCCAAGGACACAACCGTGACAGCATAAATGGTTCTGTTTCACTGTTTTCTGAGATACACAAACTGCCACATGTTAAGAAAGTTCAACCACACACCCTGTATCTTCATCTGAGGTTATATAAGCAAATGCTCCTTGTTAGAATTTATAACATGTATGGTCTTTAATTTACAAAATCAACTAAAGCGGGCTGGTCAGATAATTGTTAGACATACATATATGTACATATCTGTTATGGTCACCTAAGATTGTACCAGAGAGAATTGAATAGCACCTTTTAATACAAACTAAGAGTTAGAGCTCATCAACAATTTAAACTGCACCATACAGCTGTTTCTACCTTCCAGGGCTCATCAATGAGGTGAAGGGCCTAAATTTTGTAACCTAAGAGGCATTTGAGGAAAAATCCAAAGGGATTGAAAGGAAAGTCGAAAGCTTGATAAGGAGGTGCAACAGCCATGTAATTCAATAAATTTTGTAATTTCAAATGTCAATTACATTTGTGTTTTCTGAACCATGTCAGAACTCAAATGAATTTAAAAGTGGCACACAGGTTACAGAAAACCTTGTGGACAATACGATCATAATCCTGATATTTTTCTTGGGAGTTAAACATATGTTGAGTTTACAGTATATTTGACAATTTTCTGAAATTCAAAGTCATGTCTCAAATTTGCATAGAAAAGCATATATATGGCTAATCCTATACAAAACCAGATACGAGAAAACACGTTGAAATGATTTTGAAAGGAAATTTTATCACTTGCTTAATACGGTAAAATACAGGTATCAAATGGAGCCATATTTAAAATCTCACCATAAAATACTGTCATTGTGTCAAGCTATTGAGCATATGGCACTTGACATTTGTCTAGATCTTAAACCCCTGTACAATTCATACTGTTTACATTTAGGGAATTTACAAAGAAATGTTGCATAATGTCACGTTCCTGGTAAATATCTGTTTAAACATTACATGTAGGGAAGTCCTATAAATCTTGTGTCTGCCATCAAATTCTATTGATTGTGAACGTGTGATCATCTATATTCCATGATATGTAAATCTATAATACATTTAACATATTGATAAATAAGCAGTATTGAAAATTAAAAGATTATTTCCAAATCTTTTTAGATTTAAATCCTTGAAATTCTAATTTAATTGAAGTGAAAATGGATTTTTAATGTCTAAGTAGAGTCTAGGAAATTAGGGTTTTCTCCGAACGCTGAAATGAGAGCCAAGCACACATCTACTTACTTTTGTGCAAAGGCTGACATCAATCTCTATATCTGCTTTCCAAACACTTAAAGTTTGATTAACTTAGTTGATATGTTTGCATTTGATATTCAGCCAATTGTTCTGCTATGAAATGACCCCCTGCTTTAGATCACTTTTGTCATATACAAATGTAGTTAAGGCTGTATTTCAATTAGTCACACATTGTACCTCCTTTATAAAAGAGTTCCATGTTCTTTGATAATCTACAAAATAATGTAAACACTCCTATCCCTCAAAACCAAATGGGATATATTAGAATCTTCATGTGTGTATCTATGAGAAAGACTGTGGGGTCTCTCACCTGGTTGGGATATATCAGAGACTTTAAAAATAGTGGCAGTGTAACAACTAGTTCAGCAATTGTCAGTATAATGTTACCATATGTGGTCCCATGTTGGGTGTGATTGGTAGTATATTCCAGTGTGATAGCACTGTAAAATCGGCATTAGTCCCACACTATTACAAGGAGACTTACCTTAACATATTACAGTCTCCAAACACATGCATTCATCACACACGTTGTTTGGACGCTGGGCAAATGGAATATAATATTCATACTTTACTTTTTCATTGTATGAGACTACAGAACCTTTTCCTTTCGATCAGATTATAATTTTATAAAATTTCAGGACTCATGCAAGTGAGCAATGGAGGAACATATTTATTTATTAATATTATTTACCTTTATTCAAAATTTTTGTTACACATGTACCAACAGTCAAACTACTGTTAAAACATTATATACCATTTAAGATGAGGAAACGACAAATAATACATAAAAAATGTCATAAGTGAAACCTTTCATATGTAATTGGCAGGAATAAGTTGTGTACAACACAACCAAGTTGTTCAAAATAATCTGGTTAGCTTTATTAGATTTTAGAAATACATGTATTAAAGAAAAATGTGATCTTCATAATTATTCTTGTATAGGGATTTGTCATCTGAAAGCTTCAGGTACACAAACATATTCATAAAAAGGAAAAGATTATTGATTAATTATAAAATTATAAAATTTATTCAAAGGTTTAAGATGACATTTCATAGAGTTTGGATTTCAGGTTTGTAAATCAGAATTCCACAATCTCTTTACTCTGTAGTTGTCCTCTCTACAAAACGCTACAAAGCTTAGGTTCAATCTGTTTAATGTCAAATATCGAAAAGAAAATTATTCTTTTAAAAGTAAATAAATACCTAAAAATTGAATATTAGATAGGTGTGTTTCTGCATCATTACAGAAATTCTACAAGGTATTGACAATTTTCTTTTCAACTGTATAATGGGTTAAAGATATTTAAATATCTTTTACATTTGAATGCTCGATTCTGAAGGATTAATTATCAGATCGTGTAGAAACGAATGAAAAAATCACTGAGTTTAAGAAATAGGATATGTTCGACAAAGATACTATTTTAACTGGGACTGTTAACAAAAAAGCAGCTAGTTAAAATGGGTTTGGTGTTGAAAAAATGTTTGTGTATTGTTTACATTGAAGCAAAAGGACATACATGTTTGCCAAAAGATATAGGCCATCGTATAACCGGAATTGAAAAAGATCATAGGTTACTAGTTTGTAACATTTTGTATAATATATTACACGTATATCTCTGCTTCATGAGAAATAAATGAGAATACATGTTTTAAGCATATTTACATTGTAAATATATTCATATTTGAATATGCATTTTTATTAAATTATATGAATGAATATTACTGTGTGCAAATTCAACAGATACGTTGTACATACTTACATTTGTATTTAAGGGTTAGTTTGGTATTTTTTATGCTTAATTAAAAACAACTAATTGTCTATTTGAATGGATACGAAATTTAAGACGTGATATCTCGGTCATTCGACCACGATCACAAATTGCTCTATGACAGCAGAAAGGTGATATGGATGACCTTTGACTCATGCGACAGCCGTTTCAAACTGAATCTGTATATCGTCCTGCCAATCAATCTTAATTGGAATCTTGGTGTTGGAAAACAAAAACAAGAGACTTATAAAGTACTTACTTGACAGGTGTGGGGAATAGGGGTACGTATATATCGTGAATGGCATAGATATATGTAGAAGAATAATAAGTTTATCCAAGGGTAGGATTTAGTGGGTAGCAGAATTTTCCACCTGTTCCAAGCATGATCAGATTTTAAAAGTAAATTACAGGGTTTTTGTTTGTTTATCTATTGAATATTTTTACTAAAATTTTAAAATTGAAATTAAAATTTCAGATGTTGGGATTCAAAATTATCAGCATAATGTAAGAAAAATGAAAATTTCCATACTTTTTAAAATCTAATGGGAAAAAATGTATAATTTTAAGTTATAACATGGAACTGTTAATCTAACAGCACTTTGAAAAACTTGCTGTGGTGGACTTTTAAGTGGAAGGCAGATAGGATGTTTGTCATTGTTAGCCCCTTGATGGGTCTGTAAACATACCCGGTTATTGTATGGTGTTGTAGTACAGGCAGTGAGAGACAGGCTAGCAAAGAGGTGAGTACTAGAAGTGTCAATATGCTATGTGGTGTGGTGTGAGTTTACCCTGTAAGGACACGATTTATAGGGTCTAGCCGGACACTGGTGTGACTTTTCATACCTACTGGTATCTACAGTAAATAATAACATAACAGATATTGAAAGACAGTCCATTCAGGACCTGAATAGCTGCATGGAGCTGCAAGGACACTGGTTTGAATTTCTATGGTTTTAATTACTACTGTGATCAATATTACAGAAATTGACACCTGAGCACAAGGATAACCGTACACTGATGTGACTTTTCATATATACTGGTATCTACTTAATTTGGATTCATTTTTTTATTACTTGAAAGTTTGTTTTTTAACTGGACCTTCATTTGTAATTGAAAACTTGATATTAATTGTATTACTGGTTTCTTTTGGCAATTTTGTAATTTTTGCTTTTTGGTGTCATAACGTTAACCAGAACATGTAATTTCAGCCACATCATGTTTTTGCCCGTTAAAAAGGTAGGAGCTAAAATGATGTAATGTAATATTTTTGAAAATTAAAACTTGCTACTTCAGTATTTGTCATGCAATCTCATGACAAAAATAGCAAAAATTAAACATGGTGTAAAAAAAACCCTGTTGCACAATATTTCTTATTATCAACTTACATGGTATATCTTGATGTGTTATTGGGCCTAATTAAATGATCAGATTAGAATTTGAATTAAAATTTTTTCAGTTACAAGGTTTTGACTGAGGTATTGTCTGTCAATTTACCTGTGTTTCAAGTTTGTCCAGAATTGATCATTTTCCTGAAGTGTTGCACTTATTTCAGTGGAATTTTTTCATGTATAAGTTTACCTAAGGCAACTTCTCTAGAAATACTGCATATTTAATTTAGTGATAGTGTAAAATTTTAGAAGTTGTTATGGTCTAGGTACTGAAATTTTTATAAGCAATTATTAAATATTTATATTATGACATATATTGATATGTAAAATGGACGATGACTACAAAGATCAACAAGTGCAATCACTGACAATTATGTAGCACTTACTGACAAGGAAAGGTCATAGGTCATTGTTGATAACATTTATTGAAACAATTTTAGTGAAGGACAATTAATGTTAATTATTGCTTTGATTCTTCTTACAGGACCAACTAGCTGACATGGCAGCTAATAGTAATAAAGGAAGGAAAGAAATTGAAGTCTCAAAGGAACCGAAGGAACCTGAAACTTCTACCTTCCTCACAGAAACCAGAGAGGAGGCTGAAGACGACGAAGAGGACAGAGATGAAGCAAAGGGAGATAACTTTTCTGGACATTCTGAGGGTCATTCTATACAGGAACAAGAAAAGAATGAGGATTTAGCAGAAAGTAGTGATAATGTGAATGAATTAAATAACGTGGAGGTAGCTGAGGAACAAATTAGTACTGAAAGCAAACATGGAGATGATCAGGATTTGGAACCACAAGTGGCAATAACAGGAAATGAATCTTCAAATGTGGCATCAAAAGGAAGTGAATCTCAAAGTATGCCACCAAATGGATACGAGTCTTCAAATACGGCACCAAAAGAAATTGGATCCTCAAATGTGGCACCACAAGGGAGTGAATCCAAGCAAGCGGGACCAACAGGAAGTGAATCCAAACAGGTTGTACCAATAGGAAGTGAATCCAAGCAGGCTGTACCAACAGGAGTTGGGTCCAAAACTTTGCAGCCAAAAAGAAGACGTGACAAAAAACCAAAGACACTACACCATCAACAAAAGCAACCAGTAATGAAAAGTCAAGGTAATCAAATGATAGAAGATGAGGATTTAGGGATATACGAAGATATTACAGAAGGGGTAGATTTATTTGACAATGAGGATTATATGGAAATGATGGGTAACAGAGATACACATCCTTCCAGTACTGTGACAAAGACCCCTGACCTCTACACAGAGGTCCGTCCTGCCCCGCCACCGACATCAATTTTACGTAATCCCTCTGCCACACAGGAAATCCCTGATTACGATGCAATGGATGATCTGCAAAACAGTCGTGTGACCTGGAATGCTATCGAGCCCCATTTCAGTGTTTCCATTGCTAATATGCAGAGGCATTACTCTGGGAGAATGGCTAACACTCCAGCAAGCTGTTACTCTGCTGAATCAAGGTAGGTGGGCTTTTATTGTGTTGTGTTATATAATTAGGACCCACTAAGGGCCAAAATATCATAGGGTCAATTGAGACCAGATGTTAGGGTCAAAGTTTGTCATCAATGTCATCGTCTTCGTATCATACATGTAGTCTTCTTCAAGCCATGTGGACTGCAATACAAACATGCCATTCTCCAAAATCACAACCTTTTATTGAGTATTAATAAAACTTGATGCAAGCCTCTTCAACAACACAAACTACATTTCTAATTCAAGTTCTGATTGGCTGACAGTAGGCCAATCAAACTACAATATGTCAGATGAAAGTTCCTGACCTGACAAGGGATAAATAGAGGGTTATAGTCATTCTGAAGAGGAGATTGGATAGAATTGTTTTAGTAAGAATATACAGTGACGATCTTTAAAGAAAATAGGAATTTCTATGAACCAGGAAAGTGATTTTACCTGACTGAATAAGATTCAATTTTTTCAGGCTGTGAATTCAAAGCTGCATGCTCATTTTAAATTATATTCATATTGTGAATTAAAGCTGAAAAAATCATATAAGATAGAGAAGAGGTGGTTTGATAATGTTTGCATGATCATGGTAATGTTGGCAGTGAATTGGTGCACTTGAGTAACTCATATAGCAACAAATTCAAGCTGTTGGTGACTAATACTCTTAAAGAAGAAGAGTATAGTACATCAAATCATTTAGTTTCTTTTTCATTTTAAAATATTTCCTACATAGACTTTTGCTCGTTAGCCATTTATCAACTTATTCCCTATATTTTGATTTTCCCTGGATTGTTTCCTTTTTCACCTTTGAACTTCACATTGATTAAGGTATCATCACAGTGCTACTGACCTTGTCGTTAGTTTGACTTGTTTTGACAAGATATTGAAGGTCATATAGCTGGAATGAGAAATAAATTAATTTTTTGTAATACTGTAAAATCATAGATTTTTGTGGTGGTCAATTTTTGTGGTTTTTCAATAACATCCTATTTCTGTGATGCTATGTTGTGATGTTTATGGATAAACACACCTCAATAAATCTGCTAATATAACTTTTCTTTGACACATGAATTTGTGGAATTAATCTCCCAAAAATTATATGATTATACAGTAAATTCATTTATGTTTTTTTGAAGTTTGAACATTTTTGTCATTTTTGAAATATCTAAATATACTGAATTACAACCTGGCTTGGTACCTGTAATGTCTTTCTTTACAAAGCTTACTTATAACAGCATCACTATTACTGCCAAAACATGTATTGCCACCATATCTTATAGCCATATATAGCAGGACCCTATAGGATTAATTGTGTAAAGTATGGTACTTAAAATTTGTATCTATTCAGCAATAAGTCCATGTCTGGTAATAAGCCCATCCATACCTGTTGCTGTTCAATAAGATTACAAAACAATGTTATCTCATTGTCCTGTAATAAACCTGATTTTCATTGAGAAATTTGTTGCTGGCACATTTTGGCTTACTTTTTTGTTTGTTTGGTTAACTGCTCCTGTGAACAGCCAGGGACTGCTAGGCCTCATGTAGTAGCTGGTTGCTACTTTACTGAACAAATATGGAAGGCCCGTCACATTTCATTCAAAGCAATAAGGGTAAAGTGACTTGCCCCAGGGCACAACTAGGTCATCACAGACCAGTCCTTTCTTCAGCCTCCCTAAAAACACATACCAGCATGTGTAGGTAGTGTGGAACTCTTTTGGCTTATTGTGGGGTAAATACAAGTATTATTTTAGTTCTCATATATTCAGTAGTGTAACTTATGTAAATGTATGCTTACCTATGTAATATGGTTAGTAGGTATATTTAAAATCAAGTTTACACCTAAAATACCATAAGTGGGTGTGAATTTACATACAAAAGCCTCAAAACACCCAGTGTTTGACATTGTCAAGAGTCACTGGACAATATCTATATGTACAGTTTGGTATACACACAAAGATCATGTTTGTAGGGAATTAGATATAGTCATTGCCCCTATAAGACATATGCTAAATGTACCAGAGGTATAAACATTTGGTACCATTTTATTGCAGTGCTGTAAAGGTGGAGATGGAAATCGCTTTAACTGCTTGGTATTAACAGATTTATTCCTGGAATTAGATTTTATTTTAGAGAAAGATTTATGTTTGATAAGATGACTTTGTGTGTTGGCGAGGCCTGACAGCCCTGTTTGTATAGAGGTCTGCCTAGATTACTGAAGGTCTGACAGCTGGCAGACACAATCTGTGTATATCTGTGGGCAAATGCCGAGCACGGATATACGTTATGTCAAATGTATTGCCATTGGATCTAGCCAATAGCATTTTGATTATTGACAAATATGCACATTATCATGACAAATATGCACATTATCATGACAAACATGCACATTATCATGACAAACATGCACATTATCATGACAAACATGCACATTATGTTGCTAAATGTGCACATTATCATGACAAACATGCACTTTATCATGACAAACATGCACATTATCATGACAAACATGCACATTATCATGACAAACATGCACATTATCATGACAAACATGCACATTATGTTGCTAAATGTGCACATTATCATGACAAACATGCACATTATCATGACAAACATGCACATTATGTTGCTAAATGTGCACATTATCATGATAAACATGCACATTATCATGACAAACATGCACATTATCATGACAAACATGCACATTATCATGACAAACATACACATTTTCATGACAAACATGCACATTATGTTGCTAAATGTGCACATTATCATGACAAACATGCACATTATCATGACAAACATGCACATTATGTTGCTAAATGTGCACATTATCATGACAAACATGCACATTATGTTGCTAAATGTGCACATTATCATGACAAACATGCACATTATGTTGCTAAATGTGCACATTATCATGACAAACATGCACATTATCATGACAAACATGCACATTATGTTGCTAAATGTGCACATTATCATGACAAACATGCACATTATGTTGCTAAATGTGCACATTATCATGACAAACATGCACATTATCATGACAAACATGCACATTATCATGACAAACATGCACATTATCATGACAAACATGCACATTATGTTGCTAAATGTGCACATTATCATGACAAACATGCACATTATGTTGCTAAATGTGCACATTATCATGACAAACATGCACATTATCATGACAAACATGCACATTATCATGACAAACATGCACATTATCATGACAAACATGCACATTATCATGACAAACATGCACATTATCATGACAAACATGCACATTATCATGACAAACATACACATTATCATGACAAACATGCACATTATGTTGCTAAATGTGCACATAATCATGACAAACATGCACATTATCATGACAAACATGCACATTATCATGACAAACATGCACATTATGTTGCTAAATGTGCACATTATCATGACAAACATGCACATTATCATGACAAACATGCACATTATCATGACAAACATGCACATTATCATGACAAACATGCACATTATGTTGCTAAATGTGCACATTATCATGACAAACATGCACATTATCATGACAAATATGCACATTATGTTGCTAAATGTGCACATTATCATGACAAACATGCACATTATCATGACAAACATGCACATTATGTTGCTAAATGTGCACATTAATATGACATATGACAAACATGCACATTATCATGACAAACATACACATTATCATGACAAACATGCACATTATCATGACAAACATGCACATTATCATGACAAACATGCACATTATCATGACAAACATACACATTATGTTGCTAAATGTGCACTTTATCATGACAAACATGCACATTATCATGACAAACATGCACATTATCATGACAAACATGCACATTATCATGACAAACATACACATTATGTTGCTAAATGTGCACTTTATCATGACAAACATGCACATTATCATGACAAATATGCACATTATGTTGCTAAATGTGCAAATTATCATGACAAACATGCACATTATCATGACAAACATGCACATTATCATGACAAACATGCACATTATCATGACAAACATACACATTATGTTGCTAAATGTGCATATAATTTTGATGAAAGTTGCATTTATGTTATCTTAAGCATATTATCTTGATGAATAGTATTAAATTTTAATGAATTCTGATGAACATGTATATAATTGAAGTCCACTACTGGAACTGTGACCAGTTCATATGTTTACGATCTGTCTTTAAGTTAGTGCACTGTCACAAACATGTACAAACGTTGCATGTCTGGGTATACACCCTCCTAGAAAAGTCAAAGCATCTGTTACTGTTAAATACAGACTTATGGCCCTTTGTCCATTTTTGATACTAATGATTGATAGAGTTATGGCCCTTTGTCCATTTTTGATACTAATGATTGATAGAGTTATGGCCCTTTGTCCATTTTTGATACTAATGATTGATAGAGTTATGGCCCTTTGTCCATTTTTGATACTAATGATTGATAGAGTTATGGCCCTTTGTCCATTTTTGATACTAATGATTGATTGACTTATGGCCCTTTGTCCATTTTTGATACTAATGATTGATAGACTTATGGCCCTTTGTCCATTTTATAAAGATTGACAGAGGATAATTGATCGAATGATAGACTGTGGTAGCTCTGTGCCTTTTTTTGATGTATAGATATGCAAAATGCATCAATTAGCATTCACCTGTATAACAGGATTTGAACGTTTCACAAACTGTGGTATGAAATTTTCCCATTGCATCCTATGAAAAAATATTTGCAAGGATATTTGATTTTAACATATTGTGAAAATAATAAAATTTCCTTAAACACACTTGAACAATTTGATAACTATCCCCTCCATCTCTTATATAGTAATGTGGTGTTATATTAGCATGTAAGGTACATGCACATTGTATACTGAAATTGGTAAAAAAATTACCCATTTCCTCATAAAGCTGTGAACATACTCTATTATACACATATTTTAAAC